CCATCACCACCCCCCCCCCCCCCCACCACCACATCTCCATCAACAACGTCACCGTCAACCCCTCCCCCATCTTCCGCAACCCCCACCTCGCCATCTTCGCCACACACTCCTTCTTCAATCCCCACTTCCACCTCCAACAAGCCTCACCACCACCCCCTCCTCCCCAAAACCCCCTCTCCCACGCCAGCCGCCTTCTCCACTCCCGCGGCTTCACCCTCATGGCCTCCATCCTCGACCTCCAGTTCCCGGCGATCACTGACCGCCGGGAACTGACACTCTTCGTCCCACCAGACGAGGCGGTGGCGAAGAACGCCGGGAACCTCACTGAGCTCCCGGCGCTCCTCCGCCACCACCTCGTCCCGCGCAAGATCGCATGGTGCGATCTTGCATCCTTAAAGGATGGGACCTTGATTGGGACCTACCAAAGTGGGTTTGCTGTCAACGTCACAAAGTCCGGGACTCACACCTTGTTGCTCAATGGCGTGCCCGTGGATCTTCCCGAGATGTATCGCGGTGACTGGCTCGTGCTTCATGGCGTACGGCACGTGCTTTTTGCTCACAAGGGCAAACGACACCGTCTGAGGCATGGTTCGGATCCGGTTTCGGTTGCGGCGCTCGATGGTGAACAACCTCCTCATGACTTTGATGACCGCGAGCTTGTGGGGAACGTTAATTCTCCGCAACATTACCATTTCTCTGTTTTTCATTAGGGGTGAATTGATGGTGTTCATTTGAAGTAGAGTGCTTTTGATCTTTTTTGAAATGGAACTTGCACTTGAATTGAAATATGAGTGTGCTTCTGTCATAATGTACCAGTGAATTCATTTACTTTGTTGTTAATTTCAATAAAGAGCGTAGTGTTATTAATATTTTTGCAAAGTTAAATCTGCATATATAAGAGATTAAGAGGCAATGCAATTTTGTTGTTTGTAATTGGGTTTAGTTAGTTAGTTGCCAACTGGTCTTAAACAAGGTAATTTAGTTAAAGAATGATCATGATGAGGTGATGAGATTTCGATTTTGGAATATAGATTCAGGAACCAGCTTAATGGTAACAAAGATGGGGACTTGGTGGAACCGACCAGGCATGTATGTAGTTCTGGTTGAGTCCTTTTCAGAATCCAGATTGTGATTGCTTAGACAGAAAATGAAACTACTTAATTTTTTGAGTGTAGATTTTAGTTGATTACATGAACCTGCTTTAGTAAATCTCGAGACTGATAAAATAAGTTTGTAAAGTGTTTCATCAAATGAAATTAAAACACAAAGTTATGAATTGTTAACTATTGTGAATCTGAAGTATATGACCGACCAAAGTAACTGTTATACAGTGTTCCATATAACATTGCATCATGTAAACTAATTCCTAAGTTACACGATTAACATTGGCCACTTCTCGAGTTAATTTTGGTTTATCCTTATACCACATTTCCTCATTTTTGACCTTAGGTGTATATTCCTTTGTGTCTGTCAACCTATTTCATCACACCTTAGTCGTCACATATATTTGGTAGCATGTGCTCCCACCATTCATCAATCAAAGCCTGTTTAAGTGGTTCCGATTGAATAAGTTTTTCCAAAAATATTTTTAGGAGAGAAAAATAAGAAAAATTTTAAAATAAATATTTACATAAGTTAAAATTAATATATGAATTAAAAATAAAATTTTGGTAAAACTAATAAAAGAAAACTTCTACAAATTAGGTTATGTATAAGCTAACTGTACCGGTGGATACCCCTTCGGCCACGCAATAGGCCGAGATGTCCTAGCAAGTTCTTCGAGGGACCTATTCTTTCTCTCAACAACCCCATTTTGTTGAGGTGTCCTAGGTGCTGAGAAATTATGGTTTATACCATGTTCCTCACAGAATTTTTGAAACATCATGTTTTGAAACTCACCTCCATGATCACTTCTTATAGAGATGATATTAGAACATTTCTCATTTTGAACAAGTTTGGAAAATTTTCTAAAGGCATTAAAAGCATCATTTTTGTTTGCAAGAAACATGACCCATGT